GGAATCGCCATACAAAAATATTGACGATGAATATCTCGAGGACAGTCCTAATTTATTAGACACGAAAATAAGATCCTCACACAGTTTAGAAAGCGAGATAAGAATAGACATATTGTCAAGCGAACCCACTGTGAACGAATTACAAGAATCATACAGAGCCCAAGAAAAATCTGATATTGCAGAAACAAAAGAAGTAACAACGAAAAAGGGATTTCTCCGCAGAATTGCTAAATTTTTTTTTGTAAAAAAAATCAGAGAATCAAAAAAATAAAATTTTATTTTGCAAATAATAGCATTTACTTATGTGTGCAAGTCGTACGAAAGTGGGGTAGAAGTCTAGGAGTTCATCTATATATATCCCTAAAGATTAACACTTTAAAGACGGTTCTTCCTCCATAACTTTTGATTATATTGAATAATATATTATACTGAATTACATGTATACGACTGCCCTGGAATTGCCATGTAAACAAAACACAAACATAGCTTCACGGCAACGCGGCAAACTGACTGACGTGACTCCTGTCGAGTCGGCGTTGATTACCCTAGTAATTATTACCCAAAGTAATTTTTAAAATATTCGGTCCTACCAACCAACGCAAAATTTGTCTCAGAAGCAGAAAAGCAACAAATATGTTGTTGCGTATGGGTAAAAATCTTTACAAAGAAAATTACGTGCACTATCTGTTTTTTAATTGTTCTGGTGCTTTATCATTTATTATCATTTCATGCTTTCGAATTATCTTCAACTTTCATTTTTGTGGATTAAGTCCTCGAAAATGTCCGCTGCATAATATTATACATTGAATTCGATGTGTAATAATGATGCCCTAATTTATTGTTTCTGACACACTTGTGGGAACTTCATGATTCGTTTCGCTTTCGAAACACTAATATTTTTAAAGTGCTAAATATCAGCCGTTCTATTAGGTTGACTGGAATGATTTCCTAAGTTTGACAAAAGGTGACCTTTAGTCGAGTCTATCTTGTCTCCCCAACACCAGCAGTGACGCTCGTGAGTGGAGAACCGTTTATACGAGCAAAAAAGGATCGTACAATTGCAGTTTAAGTTTATACGAAGGATAAGTTTATTAATACGATCGCCTCGAAAGGTAAGATATTTATATCCCTTAAAGTGATATCGTAGACAACACAACATAATGACACTCATTGAGACCCAGCTGCAAACAATTATATTCCAATAAACACAGATTCCTAAGTAACGAACACTTCCAGGTCCGATCTCTGAAACCTTAACATTACCCTGTGCATTGTATATATTATAACAATATTCACAATTTGTAAAAACTCAATTTTACGATTGAAATTGATACTTCAGTTGCAACGCATGGAAAGAACAAAAATAAATAACAACAGAGCAATACATGCACACAGTTGATATCCCTTACCAAAAACTATTTATCATTATCATTAAATAATTCTCGTTATGGCCAGTAGTTTGATATTCTTTAACGTTACGATAAGTGTCAATTTGGCCTACTCTAGGAAGAAGAGATAGATATACTTGGTGAGCGAAAAACAAAATTCATGAATTTACAAATTATTTCCACGGAAATGAAGAAATTTTATTTAATACTTATGTTTGTGTGTTATTGTACCTCAAAATTCTAATATGTTCAAAATAACTGGATTCTGTTTATTTGTATTTTATTTAACGTATTACTCAAATATTTGGCATGATAAAATGAATTTGCTTAAAGGAATGGGTATAACAAAAATTGGAAAAGAAATACTCCACCCAATCAGGTGAAAAAATAGAAACCTCATACCTTGCACTATGTGCATAATCAAGATCGAGTTGGTGGATCCAGGGCCCTATATTTTTTATTAGTGACATATTTTATTTATTCACAAATGCAATTCTCAAACTTTTTTATAATGTTCTCAATATTTAAAACGTGAAATATTTCATTTATCGACTAAAATTTTTGTCAGGATATGAAGATAAAGTTAACCTCGCTATAACACTATTTGACAGTGGCGGCGCGTCAACGCTATTCTCTGTGATAAATATTGCTAAATGGTTCGAATCCATCGGAAATTAAAGCGAGGTCATACACTTTAAAACGTGTAGTACTAACATGAATACCCGTTTACATTTATAGATGTCAAATAAACAATTTGCTATTATTAACAATTTCCGCAAGCGCCGATGGAAAAAATTATGATTATAAGAAAATGTCGAAATGGGCGTTCTATTGTTATTATTATAATACAGGAAATTGCAATCACTTAACTATACTTTTAAACAAATTTATATCGCAGTCGGTATCTGCGCAGTGTCCATCAGAAGTTTTGAACTTTGTTCAACACTTGAGAACACTACCAAGAAACAGGTGGAAACTAAAAGTACAGAAGCGTTATTGGACACGTTTAGTGGCCATAACGATCGTTTCAAAATTTTGTTGTTATTGTTATTGTTATTTGTCTCCGTCTCCATTTCTAAAAAAATCGCTTTTCTCTTCGAATACTGGACCAATTGCTTTGATATTTTCAGTGGTTAAAGATAAAATTTTTCTCCAGAAGGCTATTACTTTTTTTTCGCTATGACATCATCAAAATTATTGCCACTGAGTGGCGCTACGTGTCCATATATTTGAGCATAGCACTTATTAATTATCGTTAGCTTTACTTTGACTGCCTCAGGTAGCACATCTTTTGGCCGATTCAGAAGTGTCCTATCGATTCGAGTTTATTCCATTTACCAAAGACTCAATGTGAATCAAGTCATCTAAATGAAGTGACTCAACTAACCGCCAGTGAGATTTAGCTCGTCAGTGACTGGATTCGAAACTAGGATGACCTCGACTCGGGTCATAATCGACACAAGCAGTGTTGAAAAAGGGAAATCAGCTGTGTTATGTTTAGTTACACAAATGTGCAATTTTCAACTCCCATTTTCACTGTTTTTTTAGGGAGGAAAAAGAATGATTTGGCGGTCGCAGTCTGAACTATGGCTATACAATGATCACAAATGTTGGCCTTGTTCAAAAAATGATTCTAAAATCTAAGCCAGGAGTAATATTGCGCCCGAGGACGGCTATTATGTCAGTTACAAAATTAGCCCAGTCAGTAGTTTATTAAGTGAACAAATAGCCCGCGATGCCCTATTTTCCCACAGCTTAGTTTAGAAAATTATAATGACTTCCAATAAAACTCAGTTTTACGTCTGCGATGAATAATTATGCCGTATCAAAGTTGTGTGAAGCATTTGGTGAAGTCACAAAAGATCACTTCAAAATTCACACCATTGTTGTACACAAAGTTGACGTTTATACCGTTTTAATACTATGTTGTTGTTAGAATTCTTCCTCTTGACGTCATGAAAATATCGCTTTTCACGTCAATCACTGGACCAATTGCTTTGATATTTTTATGGACCAAAGATTGTTGTTGTCGCTAGAGGGCGAAAGAATAACTATTCCATTTTCAAAACCAAGAAAACACAATATATACATACTATATATAGATAAAAAAAAATGTCTGAGAGGCAACGATACGACTTTTGGAGGCCATCAGAGTCCGTTGCCATCTAAACGAAGTGATTTGCCTTCCAACAAGAAAATTACGTTTATTTATTTCTAAATTTTCTATGAATCCTATGCGAACTAATATTTCATCCAATATTTCGCTGTATTATTTTTTATTCATGGCAACGCGGTTATTAATGTGCAAGCGTGACGACTGTTTTTTTTTTATTTATTTTGCTACGCGAAACTCGAGTTTTATTAAACCGGTGACGCATTTGAGTCCATGCAGTGGCTTTCGTGTCCATATAATTGAGAGAGCCTATAGTTACAACAATATGCATGATGGATGACTCGGGGTAGCCATATATATTATGACCATGTATTGTGAAAACTAAACAGAGCTTTACCTTGGCGATCTAAGAGAATCAAGAAATGGGCAGCACCACACTATTTGCTGAAATACTTCCAATGTCGTATGATGTTAGCACGACAGCGCTCTTAGGATAATAGATCTTTGTCTATTACCAGACCCAGAACTCCCCATTTTTTTTGAGATTTCAAAGGGGGCAACTATGCTAGCTGAAGGGTCCTGTCTCCACCTCGACTGTAGTTTTTTGCGTATATATTCAAATTAATGGTAGGCTATGCCTTTGGATGAAATAGCGATGCCACATGTGGACTTGGCGACTGTTTGAAACTGCTTCGAGAGAGAAGATTGCGATTATTTTTTGTTTCCATTCACAAACCTTATGCTTGATTTTGCCAGAATATGTTACCGCTATTGCGGTTTCAAAATATTTGAGCATGAATTTTTTGTTCATTGCAAACTTTGTTCGCCTAGATCGCCACCTTGTGAAAATCCCTTTTTCCGTTACTCTGCCTGTTTTGACTTAATTTGCTTCTGACCTTGTTCTAATTGTTACATTTCTTTACTTAAGTGTATATAAACCGTGATCACAGAAAGTCGTACCATCACCATATTCAAATGAGAGTTGCTTATGTTTATTATTTTTCTAAACATTATTATGACGTCATCTTCGTTCCTCGAACCTTTTCCAGTCCAATTCAAACCTATTATTTCACTGACTAAATATTTGAAATTTCTGTAGCGTGTGCAAGCAAATACGGTGAGTCCTATTTGTAAACACAAATGCCATATGTCGTAAAACGTCCCAAAATAATCCACAAACGGTTAGGATTATGTTATCTTACCATTAAGTCATCATCAAATGCCAGCTCCGCTGTTGAAAAAGAGCCAATAATTGAATACTGCTGTTTCTATATCAGGAATAAAAACATATCGTGATGTATCTTACCAAATAAGAGATACAACTTTGAGGCATTTGAGGGTAAATAGCGGTTAAAACAGAGATGTAGATAATTCCATTCAGTCGATTCATTTTAAACAGGGAATAGTTGTGCAATAAACAGGCTCGAATTGATCTTACTTCGATCGTAAAACGCAGACGTGGAAGGCTGTGCTTTAAGTGTATAGTGTAGCACGGAATAGTGTCATTTTGTGGCTTAGCCTTAGCATATACTAATAAATGATATTTATCATACTGCAGTGTTGATTATGTCTACCATATAGTAACAAAAAACTAGATCTTGACTTTAGGACGCACTCTTGTTGAAGATCTGAGCGCAATAGTGAAATGACCGATGCGTTCGAAAATAACTACACTTTGGGAGTAACGGATGCTGATTCACGTAAGCTTTAGATTTTCAGTAGGCTACTAATTTCTCAATTCGTTTTTTTTTTTAAAGAGCTATGTTAATTTGCGTTTCCTTGGTATTGTCCTACTTATAAGCTTTAATTTGTGGCTAATACAATTTGTTGGCTCTTCCTATTCATAGCAATTTCACGCAGCGGAGAAAAAATCGCAAAAAAATGTTAATTAACGCATAGCAGCGCATTGCAATTCATTTGTCTGGCACGTTTAACAATCAGAATGTGATAATCAATGATGAGGTAAATTGCACTAGAGAAGTAGATTGTAAATTCATCTAATAGTGATAATTTGTACATGGCCAATTGTAGTCGCAGATGCAATATCGTGTCATAAACGCACTATAGGCTATAGTCAGAAATTGAATTTATACAAAATACATGGGATATAAACTAACTTTGCAAACCTTGAGTTTTTGTTCTTCATAATATGGTAATAAATGTAAAGTAAGATTTTGTCACCGTTTTACTTTTGAAGTTTGCTCTCAGAATTTATTTTTTGTAGATTTACCGAATACCAAGCATGTGTAAAGCTTCAAATTATCCTATAGTTAACCTTGTAGCCAGCATTGTAGTATTCCACACGATAAGTTTATTAATAAAACTTCATATCGGATTTTTTTTCCAATGGGACTGTAGTTGTTCAATCGGAACTTCTAAGGTAAGTAAGTCAATAGATTGGCTTAGACTCCCTAGGGTTCATTGAAGTATCCGCCTTTAAGCGACGAAGTCATAACAACTGCCTGTCTTCATTCAGGGCAATATCGTATTATATATATTATATTCGACACATTCTGCTTCTGTGTTATGGTGAATTCTGAATTGACAAATAATTAGGCGAATCTTTTAGCATTGCCAACAAGAAAGCACTGTAGTGTTAAAGTTTGTAACTTTAAAACTGTTTATGACTCCATACATATACATACCAAATCACAGGCATATCTTTTTAATTGAATGGGAAAATTTTAAAATTATTCGAAGACACACACGAAGAAAATATGTCATAGAGATAAATTAATAAATACCGAAATTAATATATACCACTTTAGAAATTAGAAATCATCTGAATCAAACGGGGACATATGGAGATCGTCGTTGTTTTTTGTGGCTTCAATTATGAAATGACGAGATCATCGTAACGAAAATGTGTTTTCTGTGTAACTTACTTCAAAACAAATTAAGAATTCAATGTAAATTTATTATTGAAAAATTGTGACTAAAATATTAGCTTTGACATAAAAATCGATGAGTCGTAAGTAATCGTTGGTAAATAACGTTGTAAACGAGGTTAAAGTCCCAGCAGTTTCTGAGACGCAATAGGTCTTCCATAATATTGGTCTTCCATAACAGTTTGAATTTTAATTAATTAATCTTCGCGATTATATTATCATGATATGTCAACCTGTTAAACGATTATTCATCAGTGCTGAATACGAGTTAATAGTAACATGGAAGTAAATGTAATGACAATTCGATTCAACTAGAAGGATAAAGACCTGGATTTGCTCTTTGATTCATCACAATCGAAGGCGCAAAATATTTAACGAGCAAACATTATTCATTTATAGCGTAACAATATGCCAAATAGTGTCGAAATTTGTGGTCGTAAATCGTGTCAGACGACATCTTGAAAGCGATACAAAGGGAATGTTCCCTGGACTGATTCATTGTTGAATTTATTTCCCTCAAGTATGATGTTCCAGTTATTAGTCAGGGCCAATTATCGCCAAACGAAAATTTGGGAATTCACTTTTGGGAGAATAATATTTCATTCAGCTGTTTGTTCAATACGTCATCATTAGTGGTATTTGGCTACCATGACAAAGAACTTATCTGACCGCTCAGATTTCTCCCTCGCGAACCCTCATTGAGGGTCTGACCCCCAACAAGCTGCAAAAATTGCAAGCTAGTGCTTCAAATACTGTTCAAATGACATACATTTGTTAACACTAAAAATTTCAACCACAGATAGTATGCTGATGAAATTCTTATGAAACGTACTTTCGTGTAGGTAGATTTATTATCGGAAGCGAGATGTTATGGCTCTGATCGTGAGATAATATTTGTTGTTGAAGGTCACGGCCTTTATGACATGTCGTGTGTCAATTATCACATCTTCGCTTTATTTAAACATCTCGCTTTGACATTACACATGCATTATACGACATTGAGTAAATTCCTAAAGTTCAACCTACACTTTTATAAATAAATACCTTGGTGTCAAAGGCGACACTTCAACATTTTTTGAGTATCGTGAAGAGTCAATGTCTAGTGTGTTTATCGTTGGTGCCGGAGATGGAGGTGAAAGTAAAAAAAATCCAATTACAACATAACAAGTTTGCAAACCTTAGATTTTTTGTAATTGAAATATTGTTAGAGTCGAGACTTCTTACCCGTTTTGGTGCTTAACTTTATAGCCCCGACCCAGTTGCCCGTTAATTAAGAAACATCCGGCAATTATTTCTGAATCATTACGATTATTTATATGTTTTCATAACTTTCTCTAGAATGCTCGGGACCAACTTCATACGAATCAAACATCGTCATCACTGTTTTTGTTGCCTTTCTCCTCATACTTGGGGTCGTTGGAAACGTGATTACTCTCTGTGTCATTATGAAGAACAAAAATCTAAGAACAAATTTCAACAGATTTCTCATGAGTTTGTGCGCGTCAGATTTAGTTTCTGCCTGCATTTGTTCGCCATTGTGGTTGTACAGAAGGACATGGGGATTTAGCGAATGGAATTTAGGTCCTGCCATGTGTAAGTTCTTTATTTATACTGAATTAATAGCCTCTATCGAATATATCTAAAATAGGGCTGTCTCTATAATAACACATTGCCGAATTTCCCCGATCTTAACCTGATCTCAATTATAAAAGTTAAGTAAAACCCAGTGCACTCGTAGAAAACTATATCATTCAACAAAACACAGACAACAGAATGATATTTAATGTGTAGCAAGTATTCGTGGCAAACCTAACGAGTATTTGATTATATTTAAACAATATACATATATTAATAAATACTCTCGGAAAGGGGGAGTAATTATGATGGGCAATTAAAAAAAAATTATTTAGCAGATATTGACATTAGAGCACCATGCCGAAAAACCGAATTAATATTATAATAATAATTATTAATATACATGACAACATTGTCAAACAATTCTTTGAATCCATTACCACGATATAGCAATCGGAGATCACATCATGACTTTGACTCCACACAAATTTCAATGGATTTTCCATAAAGACAAAAATTTCAAACAATAAAATACAACACAGTATATATGCGCTGATAGAGTGTTAAATTCATATATATATATATTCATCAATTGAGTAGTGAAAAACTGTGAAAAATCATCTAATTGCATGATTTCTATTTCAGGTAAATTTTATTGGGTTTCTGATTTCGCAACTGATTTCACAACGTCGCTTCACATACTATCATTCTGTCTGCTCCGATTTTTTGCAATATCATTCCCATTCACCGCACCAACAACTAGATTCAAAAGCAATAAATTTCGATTGTACATTGCATCGTTATGGTTTTTATCTCTTTTGCTTGCTGCTCCTCACGCCTATTTTATGGATGTCAGGCAGAGTAAGTAAAAAACTAGTTATTCTCCTTGTAAGCTTGTAATGTTGTGAAAGACCTTGCTAAAGAATGAAGAAGGGGTGAGGAAAGCTTGGCTACGAGACGAAATCGATATATGAATAAGAGGTTAATTATTAGGGTATCACAGAATAGTGGATTTGATATGAGGCCATTTTCTCAACTTATTGTTGAGAAATTGTTCATTCAGGATTATCCGGTTCAATTGAATTTAGCAATGTTAAGATAACCAATTACTGGTAGGAATGGAGGCATATGGATCGTTTTGTAATATTTTTATTGTTTGTGTGTTCACGTTGTTGTTGCCAGTAAATGAAAACGCGTCTCATAAGACTATTACTTTCTATATTTTTCTCTTCCTAAATCTGCGTCGAGGCTCGTTTAAATTTGTATTTTACATGATGCGATTTCCTGATATTTTTGGGTAAAACCTGATGCCATAGACCCCACGATTTTTCTTATAATTCGAAATATATATTAGGTTTTCAGCACTAATATTGAAACGCACAGTTCGAGGTTTCTGGTGCTTCCCCCAAGCCAATCTTATTGGACACGTAGTGGACATAACGATCGTTTCAAAATTTTGTTGTTATTTTATTATTATTTGTCTCCATCATTTTTAAAAAAAATCGCTTTTCTCTTCGAATACTGGACCAATTGCTTTGAAATTTTCAGTGGTTGAAGATAAAATTTTTCCCCAGAAGGCTATTACTTTTATTCATTTTAAATATTTCTGTTAGCTCTGTGAGATTTGTTTTTGTTTGCTATGACGTCATTAAACGTTCTTCGACAATCGGACGCCATTTTGTGTCCTACTGTACTACTTCGCTCGGTGTGAATATATTTGTAGACTGTGATCTGACGGTACGGTAAACCATACTGTACTGCGAACAGACGTGTCCATATATTTGGGCGTAGCTCTCTTGTTTATATGTATACACTAATGAAACACGTTTGGCGTTTTTAAAATTGCTTACTTTTTAACTTTGTTATTAATTATAAAACTTATCGTAACAAGGAGTTTCAATACAAAAATTACTATTTATTATACCGAAATATATGAACTTCATAAATCATAAGTCCTTATTTCCAGGTAATTACATGTGATTTAAAATACTATACCGTTCGCAATTATTGTTTTAGATGAAGGTACAGGCAGTGACAAGTGGCCTTCTTGTTCAATAGACAAAGACAAGAAACATCAATATCATATTTACAGTGTTGTTGTCTATTCATTATTCTTCTACGTTCCTGCAGTTCTAATCATCATTCTGTCGTTTATTACTACAAGGAATTTACTGAAAATGACTCAGTACGTATGGACTATATTTATTAATTAAACACATTACGGTACTTGTTATAACCGAGAAATAAATTTCAGCTAATTTGGTTTTAAAACAAAGTTCTTATTTTAATTTCTGGAAATTTGTTGTTTTGCAAAGTTGTTGAAAATATCTTTTTGAATCAATTTTGAAGTTGTGAATCCGAAACATAGCACATATCTATTGGCGTCTGGTTAGAATAATATTTTTCATACATATATTCTTTAAAACTAGCTCAGAAAGTTTTTATTTGTTGATTGTTTCAAGATTAATATGAATTTGATTTTCGTCTGCATAACACCTTTCGCCATCGATGAACCCGCAATTATGAAAAGAAGTCGGAAGCATCGTATATGAAAAGTGTAAATATTAACGTTCAAATAGAACCTCTCCATTATATATTAATCTGTAACATCTGCTTTCATGATTATCCACTCAAAATGTGCTCGGATATTCAGATGATTTTCATGCTAATATAAGTACTTTATCTGTCTTCAGTATTGTTATCAAACACATTTCCCAAAAAGGATTACTAAGCAAATGTTAGTCCAAACCTCCATCACGTTTAATATGTATCATATGCCATATGCATTATTTTACACCTTGCTTTGTTGTTTTCACGAATTGGCCTTATTGCCGTAACTAAAATTAAATAATATTGTTAACTAAATCGACGTGTTAATTTTCCTTTTTATCAAATCAAATTCCAAATAACACACGTGTTTATATTTCTATGTATATTTACAGAAATCTATTATCAATAAATTAAAGTATACCCCAATTATTGTCATTGGGGACTGGAATGCGGAAAATCCAGGAATTAAATTTAGCTATATTGATTACGCTATGTTATTTTCAGCTCTAAGAGTACCCATTGCGATAAGAACATATATTATTTTAAAAGGTTGATTTTGAAGGTTCTCTCACGAATGTACTATCTGCCACCTAACTAATTCCAAAATAAATATATCGATTTATTTTTTATACCGCATATTAAAGCGCAAAATTCACTTTTCAGGAGCGCTGCACTATCTCGTGTTAACGATGCCGCCCGAGCATCTCGTATTCGACGACGAAACAAGGCAGCTTGCTTGCAGCTTCGACTCATTTGCGCCTCCTTTACATTCGGATACGTTTTAGTTGCGGCATATTTAATATGGACTTCTGCTAATGAACCTGACCCAACAGATTGTCGATTAATGACAGTGGATTATTGGTTTGGTGTGACGTCGTATTTACTGCTCCGGATTTCAGAGTGTGTAAATCCGGTTATGTACAATTTAGGGTGCTCCGAAATGAGAGCGTCTACATTTGACTTTGTTAAGCATTCCGTTTTCAGGAGAGCTTCTCGTGTAGCACGAGCACACAGTCAACAAAGAGAAAGAATATTTACAATTTTTCATTCCAGATCTGGGGCTCCACCAGAAGACTATATTGAAGAATAATTTCATATATAACTCCCTCATTACTCGACATATTTCAATGCAATGTTTATTCAATCAAAAACAAAAGAAATCAAATCAAAAATCTACACTCTACATCTACACTTCTTTGTGTTACTGGCGCGAATAGAGTACATACATTTTTAATATTATGGTGTATTTCTATGCCGGATATCTTTTTATTTTATTTTTCATTTTTTACAAGTTTTTTTTATTGAATCCGTTAAAATTCTGAACCATTCGCACTACAGGAAAATTGGAAAACATGCTTCAAACGGGAGATTCAAAAAAGTATTAAAATGGTGATTACTCAAATATAAAATAACTTTCACTCCAGCTGATAATGTCTGTAGTTACTTTTGACAGAAGTTGTATTTTTTTCATCATCCTTTATTACTTCATACTACCTCAAATTATATCTGACGAGTTGCGGTACCGTTTTTATTACTTAAGTCAAATACGTAAAAATAATTAATCAAAGAAAAATAATTTCTATATTATATTCAAAAGGTTCATTACGATTACTTGAGAGATGCCAGAAACTGATCGTTTTTTAACGTAAAGTAATTTGTATTTTTGAAAATTTGCCTTCGATTGTTTTTAAAAGACTTAACGAAATTGGAACTGACGCTTCTCTATTTGTTGTATTTTTTATTTATTTATATTACACGTATTTAAAATTTAACAAGTTGAATTACATAAACGCCAAAAGAAAGAAATAGGCAGCAGTTAACCAAAATAGACAGTAGACAAACGTGTGCAATGGGGAGACAATGTAGCAAACAGAAAACCAAGTGTGCAACTAATAGATTGGAGATTTGAATTTTAAGTGAGTAAAATGTTGATTCGGTTGTTTGTTTTCATTCCAAAAGTCATGAGGTTCTCTATAGCTTACAGTAATACTCATTCATACATAGTTATATACAAAGGACATAGGGTTTTGTTTTTTATCAATTCTAAAAAAACATGGTGTTTTAAAACAAGGGCTTGTCTTAAATCATTTTTTTTTCTGTATTTTTTGTATTTTTTATTGAAATACCTCTTGCATCGGCGCGAAACTACGCCAAAACGTTGCATTCTGGCAGCTGCACACGCAGCCAGAATTATAATTTCAAAAATGTAAGTAAATTTTTTCATTTTGACTTCTACTTCTATTGCGTACAATCATTGCCGCGTTTGTATCTCCAACAAAGTCATAAAATTTGACCCGGAATGTTTAGCCGAGATATCAGAGAGATGTTTTGAGTAAGAAAAATTGATCTATTGACATTTTTCTCATAAAATGAAGGCATTATTATGGTTAATACTGTTCGGTTTATGCTTAGCATACTTTGTTTTTAAGGTTGAAGTGATAGATTTTTTCAAATTTTATACAAACAAATTTATTCGATCGCATATTAATTTTCGCAAGGTGGTTTCATCGCAGCAGGGCCTTTGCGTAATGGCCTATCGGTTGCCTCTTACTGCGCCAACCACTGAACTACAGCTTGAGAAGGTGTGCATGAGCCTCTATCGATATTTATTGCAAATAAGAAGCGCTTGGCAAGTTTTTACATCCATATTTCTTCAACCTATTTAATACAAAAAAATCAAATAGTACTGCCATTTTAAACAAAACAGGCAAAAAAAACTTGATTTAAAACAATTGTTTAAAAACATTTCTTCTTGAACAAATCCCTATTCAAATACGTGCCACAAAACGAAATGGCAATAACGACGTTTTTTTAAATTTGTTATCGAATTCTACTTTTGGTTTTGTAATGTCAAATTAGTTTACTCCGGATTGTATTCGCACAATGCTCCTCTTCTCAAAGCACCCCTTTGGGGATAGTTGTGAACGAACGATTTCTTACTTGATAACCAATCAATGTTAATTGCCATCTGTGTAAATGATGAGTTCGAAGAAAAAGTTGTTGGAACTAGTGCCATAGCAGCATTTGCAGTCGGTTCTCCCGTCGAATAACGTAGAATTTGCATCTGAATCGCATTCAAATATTTTATATTTTATAAATATATAAACATTGATTTTGTGACTAGAACGATACAATTTCATTTATTTGGAAAATTTCTGCGGGGTCTATGGGATTCGTTTTCACTTTGAAGTTTTGTGTGATGACGTCACTATGAGTAAAAATTGCGCACCGTGGGGCGGTTACACAATCGCATTTCAGCGATGTGGTAGTGAGCCAAGTAGGGCGTTTTTTGCTCAGATAGACTGTCGGTACTGCAGAAGAGTTGATACCGGTACTACTTCGTTTTGGTCTTCATAGCTATATGTTTAAACTTTTCTCGCATTTTGACTTCGAGCCCAAAATCTTACTCACCTGGGTATCATAGGTCATTCCAAGCCAGGCCGTTGTGTATTGTACTTCTGGAGTCGGGAATTTATCTCGTAGATATTTTGCAACCTTCACATAATGTGCGCCATCATATATATTTGCAAGTTGCCATCCAATTTGGGAACAAAGATTTGAGGCTGCAGCATACAATACGTCAGCAGTATCATGCAGTATGGCTCGGAAACATTTACCGTTGTGTGAAACATCTGATGGTAGAGGACATGAAAAACCTGTAACAAAGCTAATTATAATTAAGCATATCTAAAGAAAATTTGCAGAATTTGATTATAAAAAGTATATAAATATATATATTAAATAAATTGTACAAATGCTTATTTATATCTAAAGTATTTAATTGGAATTCAACTTTGGGCCCAGCGAAACCAATGGAAGAAATATTATAAGAAAAGGAGAACGTATTCCATGCAAATTTTTTTTTTTAAAGAAAATGTTTTACGTACGTATTTTGTGCAAAATCGATACAATTTGCCAAATGTTGCAAAAATAAAATATCATATAATTTTTGATATTTTTTGTAACGTACAAAATATCTTCAAACTATTTTTGGATTGCAGATAGTATTAGGAGAACAATAATAACAACAACTTAATAACAAAACGATCCATATCCAGCTACATTTCGTGTATATATTTCGTGTCCAATAACTATGTTAGAAAGAATTAAAAAAAAAAGAGGGTTGATCATCTACTACCATCATTAAAATTTGTCGAACTTTTGAAGATGCAATGCTTCGATATTTCTTCCAAATTTGCTTTCAATCTGTACATCTTTGTATTAAGTCCTAAATTCTCTGCGAAATATCAGGTATAAGTGTAATAAGAACCACAGTATATGTGAAACAACGTATGAGATTACATTTAGTCCGGAATAATGAAATAAGCCAAGCGATAGATCAAGCTATAGTGGCCAACACCGACACAGTATAATGCAGTCAGGTGCAAATATTTATCGATGAAAATACAGCTTGTTTTTAGCAATTAAGCAGAGCGCAAGATTATGAACAAATCAACAATTTTCTATTTTAAATATACTAAAAAATATATTAAAATATAGATTATAAGAAAGCATATTATGGCAACTCACCATATGAGAAATTCATGGCCAGAGATCCAACTATTTGTTCATAAATAACCCACGGAGGAGGGGTTGCTTTTCCATATGGAAAAACGTTTTTTCTGCGCCATTTTCGAGTTCGTTCAGAACGAGTGGAAAAAGAAAATGCCAGTCGAGCTTCCAGTACGAGTTCCCTGTATCCCCGATTTGGACATAATAGAGATGCTATTCTTCTATCCTGTTGCTGGGATAAACTTGACGCTGACAACAACATCAAAAGCACGAGAGAGAACAACATGTCTGAAATCCGACCTCTTTGAGTTTTGACAGCAACGGTTTATTGACCTAGGCACTAAACAACTAAAATGAAACAGTAAAATGAAATGCATTTATTCTATGAGCAAATAATATTCCGATAGTATAGTATGTAAGCTAATCATAATGTTTCATCTCTATAATTCAGGTTGAACTGCCCGACTGTTTTAATGCAGCAATAAAAGGATCACAACTCTTTGATCTTTCATCAACAATTACTGGGGATATATTCAACATCAGTAGCGGATTATAATTATGTTCAGCTGTCTCGGGGGAATAAATCACTGTTGTCGACAAACATTTATAGTACAATTATAAGGAACGGAGTACACGTAAAATATATAATATCATTTACTTTTTGTTTTTCAAATTTTGTAAATGACTCACTTTACCAATTTATTTCATGCTTATTGGTGATTATTTTATTTAGTGTTAAATTCATCAGTATCTTAGTTAGAAAAATTGTTGAAAATTGAAAATTATGCTCTTTTAGATAATATCTGAGGGTATTGTATCAACAATACCAAATAAAACCTTCCCTGTTCATTCAAAAAAAATCTAATTCATTATTTTCTCGACGTTGATAAATCAAATAAAATTTGTGCTGTCGCGTTGGACGTGGAATAACGTCGATGGCCATATTTATAGGAAAAGCAGTTTTGATGAAGTTTCTCTATAAGGGCTCATATTCGCATAAAGCTCCCCTTCGTTCTGCATCTCCGGGAAAATTGTTAATAAAGGAACGGCGGTTGGGCACCGTATCGATAACTATGCCCATATGAATGTAGCTTGGTTCGGGTGTTAAAATCCATGGAATACTAGATTCATTCACGTTGGCCATCTCTGCACCAGAAGAATATCGAAGAACTTGTGCCTAAAAAAAGAAAATATTATACACGTAAAAACGGACGGAATACTTTAGCAATTTATTGTATTCCGAGCAGATGGTTAGGTTAACAAAATCGGAAATGAATCTTACTTCAGGATCCCACGTCATTCCAAGCCAAGCTGTCGCAAAATAACTTCTTGAGGATATAAAGTCGTTTCGTAAATATTTCCCAACTTTTGCAAAAAGAACACCATTATCAATATCAGCAAGCCTCCATCCTATATCATCACACATTTCAAATGCATCGTCAAATGTGATGTTGGTGCTTTTATGCAAGATTCCTCTATAGCATTTACCATTGTGAATAACATCGGTTTCCTCGGGACATTCTATACAAAAAAATATCAATATTTGATTAGGAAATTGAGAATTGTATTTATATTTTTATGATTTATCAAAAAAACTTACCCACTAATACTTGGCGTGTGTGGCGATGTGGCGAACACTTATTAAAGCAAAGAACAGACATTTCGTTAAATTCCGCGTTTAGTTTTTGTATCTCCTGCCTTACTTGATTCAATCCTACAAAAAATTGTCACATTCAGGAAAAAAAATTTAATTTAATATTCCATGTTGGCAAATATCAAATATATACAATATTCTTATTGGCAAAACCATAAAAACATACGTTGAACATACCAATTGTGAAATCGGTTTTGTATGCTTCAGCAATTTTTTCCAGATCAAGTAACCGCTTTTCTCTTAATTCTTCCCTTTTAGAACTTCTCTGTTTTTGAGGGATATTCTGAAATCTTTTGAAACGTCCATTGCGTGCTGTTTCTTTAGTACATATACCCTGCGCAACTACTAAACTAACAATAAGTGCAATATACATTGGCCAACTCATTGTATTTAACCGTGTTTTTGTTAAGCTACATAAACAAACATCCTGTGGACGATATTATTTTCGATAATAAATAGCGTTAATCTTTCTATGATCACAAGAAAACTTATTCATATCAATCTCTATAAATCATAACACCTAAAATTTAGCTGACGTACAGCTCAGCCTAAAACGAATTTGGAAATGGTTAATGCACTCTCTTGATCAAATATCAACATTAGGCATTGCACGAGAAGACAAATCCATACTGGCTGTCCATCAACATGTTATTTCATTTTTTACCACAAACACAACTAATTGTTGGTGTATTAAAGGTGCTATATTTTATGTCAATCATCAAAAACTAATTGTTGATGTGTTAATGGTGCCATACTTTACATGAGAAGTAAAATATATTAGCGCGCTCCTTTATCTTTTCTCAAGAGACTGTCGCATACTCTGTTTATTGAAGACACCTTTACATCAATCACCAACAGTTAACTGTTTGTTGTTTGCTGTGTTCTTAGTACGCCACGATTCACAATTATGAATAAAGTACCGTGATGAAAGATTTAAAAGGGAATGCTGTGTTTTGATGTCGCTACTTTCACATCAGAGCAGGATCTAAAATAGAAAAGGAATTTCTCGTCAGCAGCAAATCACAGTAGTAATATAGAGGAAAACAAATTAAATCAGTAAAAAAATTACATATTCATATGTTCCTTCCGAGGAAGTTAGATAGACGTAATTTCTTGTTGCCAAATAGGTAATTTCAACATAGCACAAAGAGTTGTTAGCAGTGATAGAGTAAAAACGAAGGACTTTTGTTTAATATTGGTTGTTTATGTAGGCGCTTCTGAAGATATTATTTACAGTAATCTGTGTTTTTGCCAAGTTCTAGTTAATATGTATTCGACTTAAAAGCGCTCGTTTATTAGTAACAAAACATTGTCAGAAACCACCATGATCTACATAAGTGAACTCATAACTTAACAGCGCGTTAAAGAACTGAAAAAGCAAAATATTTAGCTAATGCGTCTGTTTTTTCGATACTCCGTTTCTAACCAACGTTTTTCCCACTTGAAGATATCTAATCATGAATCTTATTGAGGTCGGTCTCACAACTCTTCTATTACAACTTTACAGTAGAAATGCATGCAGCTCATACTTTTTCTCTTTAAAGGGTGGAGATAATTTACTAGTGTACAGTATTAATATATATTTTCATACATTGCAAATAGAGATATGCGGCGCTTTATTTTGTTGTTCCTCGCCGTGACTGTGTTTTTATGGGCAACGCCAGGCTTTCCATTGGATCAGGATGGAAGAAAAACATCTTTCTTATGTTTAAATGAAGAAAACAAGCCAAAATTGTTGGAATCTCCACTGAGACCATCCAATGATAATGTATTCAAACAAATTCGGAAATGGCGCAAGAAGATTAAAAAGTCTGGTAGAAGAAGACCAAAACTTCCTATTTGGATTGTTTATGAAAGTATTGTGGAATCCCTACGCAACAGCTTGACATATGGTACGGAAAAGGTTGATTGCATTATGTCCGTAATAAATTTTGCTTACAGCACTCGTGTTATTTTGCAGACGAATACGAACTTAATGTGAGATTGTTGAAGTTGAAAGCAAACATAGAAGAAGCTTCAAAGTATTGCATCTCCAAGAATTCACAAACTCATCAAAATGGTAAAAATATTTTTAGTGTTATTGACAATATACATAAGCTATTTTTTTGCCTATTAGTCAAGATTAGCTCGTGATCCCACATGCCCAACAATCTCATTGCAAATTGATTTGCAGTGACGATTTGCCACTTTTGCTTGCAATTAGATCTGACTAACTATTGATGTAGGATACCAAAGTTTAGATCACATTGTTTGTGTCTAATCTCGATTATACTTCGTTATGCTCAATCACATCCTGAACTTCCTGAGCTTTCGATTATCTTTAAATGTTCAGATTTCCAATGTCCACTTCCAACTGATATTTCCCACAATGGCAAATGTTTTCGCGGCATAATACACAAACTCGATAACGTTACGTATGATGTGGCATCGAAATTTTGCTCTAAAATTGGATGGAAGCTAGCGAATATTTATGATGGTACACATTATGTGAAGATAGCAAAGTATCTACGAAATGAATTTACAACCGCGGAGGCACTGGACACGACCGCCTGGCTTGGAATGTCTCACGATCACCGAGTAAGTTGGCATATATCCAACAATGTTTACAAAAGTCGATAATACTGTACATATCGACTCTAGATACGTACAATATTTAGATTTAGACAGCTGATATCATGTAGCTAATTTAATGAACACGTCATCAGTGCTGGGGTAGCTTGAGTCATTGACCCGACTCCAGTTGGACTCAAGTCACTAAATATCAAACACTCGAATTGAATCGTGTCATCTAAATGAAACAACTCGGACTCGTCATCAACAAACCGCCAGTGATTGACTCGAGTTGGGGTTCGACTCGAGAATCGGATGTCCCGTGACTCGACTTGGCTCGCAATTGAAGGACTTTACCCAAAACTAGTAGTTATCATTTCACGAACATAAGTTTATAGTTTAAATTTGATGAATTCAGATGCAAACTCTGCGTTATTCATCCGGGGAACCTGCGACGAAAGTTGAGATGGCATTAGTGCCGATCAATTTGTCCGTGAATGTTTCATTTGCCAAAATGGCAATTCACATTCATCGTTTATCGAGCGAAGATTCTTACGTTCATGATTCTCCAAGGGATAACGCTGTAGGAAATGGAGCACTGTGTGAATATCCACTAGAGTAACTTGATTATTTGAGGAAAATACAGGATTATAGTCAGGCGGTATGCCCGGATTTATTGTCTTTCGTTAAACACCTATTGTGTATTTTTGTAAATACTTTCAATGAAAATGAATGAGAAAATAAACGCAAGGTTATAGTCACCTTTGTCGTTGATTATTCATAAATGTTAGAAAGATGCAGCTGGACAAAATAACATGATGAAAATATCATTTATTCGATAATAATTAAACAAAAGCTCGATTTAACTTTTTGTACAACTTAAATTTATCGTCAGCAGTTCACGACTTACGACATTGGTATATCAATAACCTTCCTCGATAATAGATCGGGCTATTTTATTCCGGACAGCTCTGTATCAATATAGATCAGTCGGTTCTTTGCAATAAACTGAAAATCTGTTACAAATTTGTTCAATAGGTATATACAGATAGAATTTGATTGCACAGACTAGTATTCACAGAACAAATTATCAAATATTTAAATCAATTTCAAGTAATATTCACAGAAAGCAGACAAGAGTATTATAAAGTGAGTGAACATTGCGCAATGTCGTGAGTGATGACGTCATAAATTCCATAAATATTTAAATTCTTTTAATGAAATCAAAATCCTCAATAGATTCAATTTTTTCAAGAATTTTTGAAAAACCTGTTTGAAGTTTGAAGTTTAATCAAATCGATAGTTGTTAAAGACTTGACTAAACACAGATAATTGTGAAAATAAAATCACTTATATCTGGAACGTGCACTTTTTTCAGAGAATTCATCGTCTCTGTCACAATGATATTACTTAACTGTTACACAACAATCATTCGTGCCAGTTGGTGTCAAGTGAAAGCAATTGACATTCGAGCAACGCCATGATATATATATATATATATATATATATGTGTTTCCAATTTTTTTCCGAATCAGACAGCATGAAAATGAAAAGAAAAATAAGTTTTATCTGTTGATAACATTCAGTCACATATTACACTTAATAAAAATATATTAGTTATAATAGCCCGGCAGTGACGACCAATGGACCCATGGGAATCCGTTGTTACATTGTTTATCCCATTTGTCTAAAAGGTTTTCGTATCTGGCGTCGACCCAAAACATGATGTAAAAATTGCACATTTCATCCGTGTGTCTGTATCCAATACTTGTCGGAACGTTTCGAAAATTGTCCATGACACATCTTGCTGCCTAAAAGTTGAATACAATTGAACGTTAAGTACAAATAAGAGAAATCTATATATTAAACCTTAATTTATGTGCCACTTGTTTTTAAATTCGTCGTAAATTTTACTTAGCATTAATGCGTGCTTTAACTATAGTTATGTGAACGCAGAGAAATTAATGTTAGACATCTGCAGCCGCAATTCTACATTGCAATTCCCTTTTCCCGGATACTTTTCGCCACTTGAGTCATTGTAGGTGTTTGTACAAGTGAAAATTCATCGAGTTGAAATCCACCATTATCACTTTTTACTATTTTTTATGATAAATTGGTTGAAGGTTGACTTTAAAAATGGATCGTATTATTTTTATACTATGTTTGATTTATATATTATTTATGTATTCACGTGGTTTTGAAACGTCGGTTAATTAATTGTTAGTATGTTATTAAAAGAACTAGTTACCTTTCATTTCGTAATAAAGGAAAAAACCTTCTGTATATCTTAGGAATATATTTTATAACTCACAAGTATATCATTATATCTTATTGTCATGTTCTTCATTGTAACTGGATAAAATGCTTCCGGTAACTGAGGACTTTTTGCACCAATCAACGTCCATTCTGCATCGCGAATTCTGAACCCAAGAACTTCGACACCAAGTGCGTGAGCGTGAGTGCGAAAGGCGAAAGGATGAATAGAGTAAGGTTGCTTGTACCTGAAAAATAATGAACTCTGATATTTTTCATTGTGTTTTCCACATTATTTGTTAGTTCTGTGTCAAGATTCGGTAACAAAAATATTTGAATATATTAGTGATAGGGCAAATTCACTCACACTTCTAACACGGAAGAAAAATATCCTATAAACTTTCGGGGGCATTTCATAATGAAACTACATTACAAAGTTATATTGGGTCTGAAAATTATATAAAATAATAATCGAGCTGATTTTTGAAACAAATTCCATATTTGACAATCTTGTCACTAGGTCTAGTCTAGAATACTGATTCACAAAACTTTTGTGCACATTTTAATGAATTTTTTTTTCCTATAATATATATATCACCATCGGCAATTAAATATCCTTATTGGTAGTTGTTCATTTATCTGAGACAGCAGTATATGGCGTATATTATGTAATAAAATTTTTCAAAACCTAAATTCGTTGCAATTTTAATATATGACAAGAGTCTTATGGGAAGAATACAGAAACTAAGAACTGATAAATAATGTCTTTGTGATACCATAGCTTCAAATAAAGACTATCTACTTGCCACGTTACATATTAATCGGCTTCAAAATGGAGTGTTATTGTAATTGACAGGAAAATGATTTTATATTATAGTGTGCGCACACTACCTGCAAGATATATCAAAGTTTCGTGTCTTATGTGGGGGAACCGTTCCCATTGATGACGCTAAAACGTAGACTCCAGCCAAATAAGGTTTTCTTTCATATGTTGAAATCACACTCACTGCAGAATGATCTTCAAATCCTCCTGAAATGACCAAAAAGTGTTACAGTGGAAAGCTGGGTAATTTTGCACTGTTTGAATAGATTTTTAAACATTATAGATAAATTGGTCGATATTTTGGCGAACTGTTACTTGCAAATTAAACTCTGAGTTTGAGGTCGGTAAACAACATATTGTTTTGTTATTTAAAAGCTGGCAAAGATGATAAACACACAGATTCGTCGGGGTTTTAAACATTTACGCTAGGTGCAATCTGCAAAAAGTGAGTCAGTTTATACATCTGGTCAGATTGATGCATATGTGCAAAATCTTCACTATTTTGGACAGTGTTAAAAATTTTAAGTTCAATATTGACTCGACACAAGTAAGCATTCATTGAAAATTGACTCGAGTCATCGAAATGAAATGACCCAGACTCATCATCAGCTGACCGCCAGTGAGACTTAGAGATTGACTCGACTTCGGATTTGACTCGACTGGCTAGTGATTCGACTTGATTCGCGACTCTGGTCGGGGTCCTGGGACTTCTACCCAACACCGATTCTGCGTATGGGAAAAGTTTGAATAAACTTAATGTAACTCAACCACAAAGCTAAACTTTGCATACAAGCACTTTTAACAATTAAATCTTCCCTAATCCTACCTCTGAACACACTGGCGCTTTTGTAATGGACTTGCAACACAAAATATTGTATTCCTGTTCCAGGTCCAATTTTAAATCCAACATCCTTTGGTAATTTGAAGAGCGGGGCGTCTTTTGCCCACGCCCACATTATTGTTGGAGGACCACCACTTCCGCATAAAGGTGCATTTGGAAAACCGTCAGAGTTCTTCTTGGCTCCTTCCATTACACCGCCACAGTTCCTTCAAAACATATTAAAATATATATATATTTGAACTATCATGTTCTAGGAGCTAACGTATTTGTAAATTTTCCATTCCATCTGTTTGAAATCTTAAATTCTCTATCAAGTGGGCTAATTTTAGATATATATATTCGGAACTTTGCGTACGCAAGGAATAACTGATGAGCTATACTCGTAGCTGGCATTTCGGTAAACACGTCGCGGGCTGATTTGATTTTAATTAAAGTCAAAGCGAATGCTTGTAAATATCGATTAAACCTGTTCCAAAATATAACTAATTAATTTTTCATAACAGAAATTTTCTCCTCGCGACGTTGATTCTTTTTTCGTATAGAAGGCATCCGTAAAGCTATCCCAGAGGGAAATAAAAACGTTATTAGGAGTTTTCGTTGACTAAATATAAATGTGTATCTGAAAATTAGATGTCGTTCACATGGTAACAATAAACTATTGTGTGTTTTCTAAAAATGGACGTTAGGAGAATTGCAGCGCAGATATTGAAAAAATATGCTGATTTATTGTTGGTGGTACTGTTTGTTTATACGAGCGGGTTGGCGATTTCGCTGAATCCTAATCAGAGCGCCGTTATGACATAACAACATGATTGTATATGAACTTCAAGAATCCAGTACAATACGATGTGGCACCTTATGAATGAAAAGTGTTTTAATTTCTACATAAGCATATTTCAATACTTGTGAGTACTGGGAACACATTGTATTGAAGGTTGCAATCAGGAATAGTTAAGCGGAAGTAAGAGCGATTTGGAGCAGCACACCAACGTTCATAAAATGTTAGTTTACAGCATTGAGTCTAAAAAAATTAAACGTATGTTGCTCATATATATTTTGTGGATCTTCACAAATATTTTGTGGAATAATATTCAAAATGACGTCCAGAATGCCACTCGACAGGTGACACGCCGTTGGCACGGAACCTTTGTGCTCAGTTCAAGTCATGAAAATAAATTTCGTTTTCGTACAAAGTCAGATGTATTACTTACTGTCAGACCATGTCTACTGTAAGGTTCGAATTAAATTTGAAATTTCATATTCCGAACAGTAATTTGTTGAAATCAATACTGATTTTAAAGTTTTTGCATTCTGGTTTTGAAAGGTTATGCATATTTGCAGCGATAGGTAATTTATTTGATCGTATGCCATACCCACCTGAAAAATTCAAACTCCTATTGATTTGTTAAAACAAAATCATAATATACCATTTGTATATATAATTGTATAATGTATTATAAATTATCTTACCATACTGCTCCTGGAGTTACAATGCCCGGAGATTTGCAACCATACAACAACATGTGATGAGCTACCGTTTGCTTTGCGTGAGGTTGATATTCAACTTAAAATGAAATAAAAAGTATTAAAAAATGTAAAAAAGCGTAACGCGTGTTCGAAATATTAGTCGCTCAACAAACGTATTTTTCATATATTATCATCCCAATTATGACTTTGTCGACTATATGGCTAGCGTCGTGTCTCACTTGTCTCACTCGTCCCAATTGCATGAATTTCACTCCTCATGAATGAACAAATCTCTATTCCAAAGTATCATAACGTGGACTCCACTTCATATATATATATATACAGTATATACTTATTTTAACAATTTGCCCGACAATATATATATATTCTAAGTCAAAATAATGCGACAACTATGAGACAAGTCTAGCAAACGTACAAAAAGGGGGAAATATGATTTTAAGCGCACAGACGGCTGGAGACAGTGATCAAGTTGGGCGTCTTCAAGAGCAAAAGGTGTATGTTTATCACTGTCGCTCTACAGTTCTTAGCGGCATGATGTCGTGTTTCCAATCACATCATTGAATACCAACTTCCGCTTGACTGCACTTTCCCGGGGCTGATTACGTAAATAAGTATTGATGTGATTATCGCCGCCGCGCGGAAGATGGTCCCTGGTGACTGAGTGAAGTAAACTTTACTTTTGCTATCAAATCTTTGGACTTTCAGCCCGTAGTTAGCTATGTGAATAAGTCGCGTCATCTCTGAGTATTTGAACGCAAATAAATCCATTCAGTTAGGTTTAAAAATGACTCATTCATGGTACTCACCGATGTAAATTGATTTGTTAGTTGCATTTGTATAATCAGCTATTTTCGCTCCTGTGCACAGATATGTATCGTCCTAAATAAAATAAAAAGTATATGGTACACGATAAACTTGAATTAAACCTACTAGAGTGGCAATTCTGGCCATAAAGGGCACATTAGATTTCCTTTGAATAGCGTGCATTGGTAATTACAATTAGATTTGTAAACGTCCTATCGACCAAACGTTGCGGCGAAACTTGATGAATATTTAATACATACCAACAATAGCAACAAACGCTGCGCATTGCCGAATATATTGTTTGTTATTCTGAGCAGGTGTGGTACACCTATTTTCATACGAAACGAAATTGAATGTATATTTAGTTTTCTTATTTTCTCTCCAAAGATAACCGCCTATCTTATTTACTTCACAGAGATTAGGTGCATAACAATTGATAAGAACTGCGCTTATTGACATTAAATTTTCTATCTGAAAAAATGTGTCAATAATCTGAGAGACATATATTTCTCTGATATTTATAGAATGAAGAAATCATAATCCAATTTCTGACCATTATGTACCAAATGATGGCATTGTATTTAAAAATTGTTGATTACCAGGGAACAAACTATCCAGATATTAAAATTCGAATTTACCTCTCAAGCCTCACTAAACCAACTCCAAGAACGGAGAAGAATCGGAAAGGACATAACATGAATACAGTAAATGTATAATTATGTATATCATGTTACTTCTATTTGAATAAAGTATTATATCAATTTCTCGAAAATTATTATATTTTCATTCAGCGAAATCGAGTCAAAAAAATTAGTAAAATCTCACAATAATTTACATATCTTATAGGGATATAAAAGTTAAAATAGTTTGTGTATAGAATTTAATCTTCGTTTATTCTTCCTACAGTCTCTACTTAACACCTAAATGTCAAACCTTCTGATTAGATTAAAATCGAATGTTACTCAACACGAAATGGCGTAAAAATCGATTTCCCTCCATGCAAGAAGTCGAACTTTGTCCCAGGAGAAATAATAAACCCGGGCAATGTGGGAAAGGTTGTTGAAACGTTAACACTAAATCTAATTTAATTTCAAAAAACACAATCAAAGACACCATATGTCTTGATTTAGATTTCATGGAGAAAAGCTTGCACAATATCCATTCAAGATAACCTATAAAATCATGGAACTCTTTTTTCAATGCGATCTGTAAAAATAGCATTTCAGGTATGTTCAAAACGATTCGAATACACTCGATATTCATTATATTCCATCCATATAGTAAATTTTTGAATCAAGGAATATTTGAGAACATTTTTATTTAAAAATCAAGAATGTTAAGCCATCAGACAAGCAGATCAAAACATACTATATCTCAAAAAAATACATGACCCTAATGTTTGTGTCGTTTTAGGTGTGATCAACAAGAAATAACTAATGTAATTTCGACATATACTTGGCCCCGAGTTACAATGTAATCAAAATATTTCTTCAGAATGTATTCGAAATAGTGGAATATTTGGTTTGTTTGGCCATATCTGAGCATATGCTATTGATGTCAGCTATGACCAATCAAAAAAGATGGATTCTAATTTATCACTTGGTATTTGTGACCTAAATGTTTGCGCAAGTTTCTGACATTTGGGAAAAGAAATTTCATTAAAATTGCGTTCAAATTTGGCGTATTGAATTATCAATCGAATTAGAATAAATCTCGGGAGACCAATTTCGCGACCGCGACGATGTTCGTACAAACGCAAGTTTGACATTATACCCTTTTATGTAGATTTTCACCAAACTAGGAATGTTTGCCTCGATTACTGTGCTAATTAGAATATCCGCCGCTGAGCTAGTCATTATAACAGATTAATGACATCGGAGTGTCAATAAGCAATGAGTAAATCGATCAGTTTTCTTCAATAACGAAAAAAAGCACACAAAAGAGAAGTCATTGGTGCCACAGAAAACCAAATTGCTAACGGAAAAAAATATTTACTTTTGGTTCAAGCCCGTAATCCAGATTATTGAAATCAATAAATCTATCTATAGGTTGTGTAAACAGCCAGTTGGAGCAGAAAAAAAAAACGAAAATGTCGCACTGCATTACATTTTGAACATGAAGTATTTTTTTTATTTCCAATTGCTCAAAATTTACTCAGAAATAATTTTACAACTAAAATTCCACATTTACTCGAAATATTAATAAAACAAAATTATAGCAAACCAAAATAAAAAAATAACCCAACTTAAACCAAACAAAATGAAATAATTGAGGCCGAATATGCTGTTTTAAAGGTACCGGTATTATTAAATTTATTGCAATTGTTTGCGTCCCCCTTTATTTGAGATGTCGGTCACATTTAGTTAAAAGATCCGATCTTTTAATCTAAACTTAAAGTGAAGTTATTTTTCAAGTATTCTGAGTTTACTGGAGAAATTCATTAATTGCGTAGTGACATTCATTAATTATTAAAATCAAATATAACATTTTGAATATGACTCATTTTTGAATGGCAGAAATAGAGTAAATACAAACATATATCAGTGTGAAAATACACTCGAAAGAAAAATTTTAAATAGAATAAAAATCGGTCAGAAAATGTCCAAAGCAAAAAAAGATAAAAGCTGGTAAAAATGAAATTAGACTATAAACAAAGAAGCAAAACAGAAACTGACTGTTCTGGGACCAACACTCGTTTTGAAATATTAGAGAATGCTACCTTACTGAGGAATGAATTTTTAGGTTTTGATGGATGTGATGAATATCGATATTATCGTTACTTTAAATTACCCTATTTTGAGAGCACTATTATATATTTGCTGTATTCTATACGCCTATATTGCTACGTAGTTCAACTGCAGCATATCGGAGTTTTATTCAAAGCGAAATTATGCTGCCTGTTTACATTGTAGTCGATAATAGAATGTGATTTATCACCAGCTTCGACATATTGAGATAATCTATGATTGTTAAACAATTCGTCACGCATAACAGACGCTAATGAGAAATATGAAAGCTCAAATATTTGGAGAACAACAATTCAATCCATGAATTTCGGGGGTTTGTGGTAGTTTTGTATTGAGCTTTTTTGTTTGTTTTTCGGGAAAGGATGTTAAATTTCGAATTTATTTGTTAACAGATTTTTAGAAGGTATTGATTCATCGAAACCGTCGCCTATTGATATTTGGTGAAAAAATATTCTCAGCGAGTAGATGCATTTAGTTGAATCTTGATGACTGGCTAATACATAAGCAGAGGATGTAAAATATTAACCCATTGGCAACGCCAGTCAGACGACATAATCAATAGATCATTAGTAAGATAAACCAGAGACATCGTCATTAACATGAAAAATTCATGGATGTTCTGATTCTATGTTGGAAGCTGAAAGTTCATGTGCTGAAGCGATAAGCATTTTGTGGCCAATTTGATTGACTCGTACAATAGATGGATTGAAAATAACTATTATCTAACTTATAACTATTATGAAAAATTAATTGGAAAATACTAAATTGTCATGTGTGAACCAAAAATCAATACGGATCATTTTGAATTACTTGGAGTATTCTTATGCCTGTAATATATAGGAATAGCAACGCAAATTTTTTCAAGAAAATTTGTTTCCAGCAAAGAGTTACTGGAAAAAGTTATCTCAAACGACTCACTAATGGGACGTTAGAATCATTCTGAATCTGCACTGAAATAGGTTGGAACTATGGAATTCTGGAACACCACTGGCGGCACACAACTAAATTTTTGGAGAAAACTATCGACATAATACCCTCTTTGACGAAAAGTCACATTTCCGGTAAGAAAAGCATGCGGTCAGACATACCCCACTTACCTTAGATACCGACACTCCAGGAAGCCCAACGTCAATTTTTATCTTCTTGTCATCGTTTTCTGTGACTTCTGTATCCTTTTCTTTCTTCGCATCATCGATACGTTTGTCTTCATCAACAGATCTACAAAAATTGAAATATGTAAATGAAGTTAGATATTTCCACACACCAACAGGAACAACAGATAAAACAAAAAATAATATAGGTCCGAATATTATGAACAGAAATACTTTTGTTGAATCAATTAGAATTTATATTGAATGTATATAAGGGTGGAGATCGGCATATATTGAAACTGAATGCGTGAATCTCTTTAATAATAGATTGTCGAATGAATAAACTGGTGAATTATTTAGGTGCGGTTTTAAGCAGTCGCCATATTAAAATGTGATTGATTCGGAGAAGCATCCAAACATTGTAACAGAAAATAGAATTAATATTTTATTTTGTAGAAAAGAAATTTATCCATTTTTAATAAAGACGTTTCATCGTAAACATTCGTAGATTGTTCTGACGTAGGAAAGGTTATTCACAACATCAAAGATATCGACAGCGCGGCGATTTTCAGTTTGCAAATTAATAAGGAAATATTCTCACTTTTCTTTCATTTCCGAATTCGTCATTTCTTTGAGAAGAGATCGTAATTCGTCAACGTCGTTACTTTCAACGTCAGACTTTTGTTTTTCGTCTTTTTTGTTATCAAGAAACTCTCTTTTTTCGTTCATTGTTTCGTCGCTGTTTTCATCTAAAACTTCATCCAGTTCCTGCTTTTGTTTCCGTTCTTTCTTTCCATCGGAGTTTGGCGAATCCACTGTAAAATAAATTTCACGCTGCAGAATCACGATACCCGTGATAATAATATGTGATACCAATATCACAATGCTGGTATTGTTTATTCTCTTTATTATTAATCAGTCCCGATTAAAATTACAAATTGTTATCAAGTTTTATCAACCGGTATTCTGTGAACCTTGTTGCCATCATCATTCACTGAATATGCAAATGACAGCTGCTTTTGGATTAGAACTAATAGCTCAGTGGAGAAACCTACTGATAACAACGAGACAGTGAGATAATCACTGACATTTTGCGAGGATATTTACACAATTATAATCAATACTTACAATTAATTGTAGAGGGGGAATAATTAGAAAATAAAAAAAAGCGGAGAAATGATCAAAAGATCGCCTATAATTTTTTTAATTTATTTCCGGCGTTTGGTGAATTCAACGAAAAGGGCGTCATCAGCCCAATATTCATATTTCATCAATTCTTGATCCATTTTCAGATTGGATACTGCTAGTTGAGTATGTATAGGCCGCTTGGTAAATAATTACTTGCTTATTGAATACATACCTCCGCTGTTAACATTTTCCATCAAATTTTCTTTTTGTAACAAATCTTTTTGAGCGTTTGCTCTATCGTCACCGATATCTTCTTCGTAGTAATTGTCCGGTGTAAATTCATCCCATTTGTCTTGAGAGTTTTTCATGGAGTTGTCAATCATATCTTCCAACAATGCTGTAACCAGAAGTTGTTGTTTGTCTTCCTCGCTAGCAGGATACTTCGTTCGCGGTGAGCCGTCCCAAACTTCTGAAGATTGTTCAAAAGCGACATTGTCGTCTTCTGGTTCTAGGAAATCATACAAGAGTTCGTAATCTCGATTGTCTTTCAAATTCGAATCTGGAATTGGCCGAGTATAGTCCGCTTCATTTTGAAGCAATCCTGCTTCGAAATCATTGTTGAGGTCTCGAAAAGATCCCTGTTCATCTAAGGCTGGATGTTGCGCTTGGCGCGAAGATGAATAAATATCTTCGAGAAACTTGAGAAAATCGTAATAATTTTCATTCCTATTTTGTCCATTGCCATAATCGAAATCATCTGATAAATATTTGGATGATTGAGTGGATAATGTAGTTGGACACTGATTTATAATTCCAACAAGGAACATGAATATCAAATGACCGAAATTCATTCTTATTTTATCGCTGAACTAGATATTACTGTAAATGACGAAGATTTTATTTATAAGTTTGATGCTAACAGAGAAAAAATAAAAAGTTTGCCGAAATACAAATGGTGCAATGTGAATAAAATACATTTACGTGAATTCACATCTTACGGACGCGTATTCAAACATTTCGCCTGACTAGACCTTAAAATTCAAGATAACGGTAACATTGTTATTCTCTGTATTCATAATCTGAACATTTACAACTCCATTAAAGCACATTAGGCCTGTACTGTCTCGTAGGATAAAAAGAGTAGTTATGTGAAAAACTAACAACAGTCAATATGTGTATCTAATCCATGAACAGATTTATTTATACTTCAAATTTTTCTGTTCAAATTTCAATTTCGACTGTTTTTCTGTTCCTAATTTTATAGCTTCGCGCATTGGCAGAAGGTCAAAGAAACTGCTTCTTGTGTCTACGTAAGTTTTACACAATCTAACATATCTGACCTGTAACTTTAGCAAGTCGTTGTTTTCGCGTCATATTGCAACTGAACCCAAACATTATTTTATAACTATCACTTTCGATTTAGTTTTCCCTGCAAAGCATGCTGAATAATAACGCACACACGTTCCCTTCCTACTTCCAAGCATTCAATAAACAAACATATGGGGGAAATTATTTGTGTTCAGCATGACATAATCGCAACGTATGGCGGCGTATTGTATATTTGTAAAGATAAAAGATATTACGCGAAATGACTCACAAATTTTAGTCCATGAGCTTCACAATTAGTACCAGTTGTTATGCAACATGAACGGCGATAGACATGAATACTGTTCAAACGAAAAAGATGGCGATTTTTTGTACAATACTCTAACTAACGTATATATAGCATACATTTAATTCTAACTTTTCAAAAGAGTGTACAATGTCCACCCACCCCCGCCTGGCAACGCCGATATCATTCTGACGAATGCTGTACAACTCCGGTCAGAAAAATTACCACCGCAGCGGCGTCTTGCTCTCTTCCGAAAATCGATTTTTCGATCGTGGGCACAAAATAATTACCAACATCATTTACATTAGCGCTGAAGGTAATACGATTTGACGTTTGCCATTTCGCATGTTATGAAAAATTGAATCATATGTCAGTATTCGTTTCCATGGCGAAGGTGTAAAAAAATTGTGTTCTATTTGCTGATACAAAGAGATGGGTACATGAATCGAACTCTGTGATTTAAATTTTGGTGCGTTGATACAAATGCTTCGCACCTTAATTTAATCAAATACTATATTCAATTCAAAACTGATAACACTTCTGATTCTTCAGCCTTGCAAATTTTCAGCCTTTTTCCTTACCTATTTTCATATATCCAATCTACCTACTATTGCCAGACCGAAAGCCTGGGAAATCTAAAGTCTGTCGAGTGTGATGCAGCTTCCGCTCCCGCCGTTTGTGCTGAATAGGCTTATTTGTAGAATACATCCGGTTATTGTATTCAGAAATACGACAATACATCATAAACCTTTTGCGTATATATATATATGATACGTGGAATATTTTTATGGAGAATATATGCATAAATTTAGGAAGGTTTATATAAAACGTATTTCGCGCTCATATTCAGCACTTTGTTTTTTCGATACGCGGAAGCCTACAGCTTGTAAATGTATTAAAGCCGTTATTGTGGTTTTTATCCATTCCATAGTAAATACATACTTATACCTTACTATTCAAAAATAAATTGATAGTCAGCCTGAATACATTTTCTTCGAACAATCTTACCAAGCTAGTAACGGTACAGATAGGTTTAATAGAAACCCCCCAATATATAGTTATGAATACAACCTGTGCTGAAAATTCAAATCCTTCGTAACATATCCCTGAAATAGCTTTATATATATGTAGATATACCTCAGTACTTCAAATATTTATATGTACAATATCAAACACAAATACCTGTTTCTCTGTATCGTGTGTGATGACACGAATGAACATAAAGAGTATGATGCATAGGAATCTCTCGCTCGCCGAGAATTTAATAAAAGCTCTTTAATAATGCATGAAATGTCGCGCAAATGACATGTGAGGAATTTCAGAACGAAAATAAATAGCGGATGTTTATGGGGGTGTTTCTCCGCCACACTATATATATACTATCCTTTGTATAATTGGAGTCATTTGTTCTAAATTTCCAATTTCAATATCACTTAAACAAACCTCAATACAGTATTTAAAAAGTATCATTGTTGGCCATAGACGAACAGAACGTATTTTTTTTTTGACCGATCGACGTAAAACAAAATGAAAAATGGATAAATTTGATGTATTCTCTAACGTGAATTCCATAGGTGCAATAGCATACAGATGCAATTGTCATGGGTTCAAATGTACGTGGGTTCAAATGTAATGGGACCTTCTCTAATCCAGTGGTTCTCAAACTTTTTAAGGCGCGTCCCCTTTTTAGAATTTGTCAGTCTTTTGCCCAACCTCAAAAATAACTAGCTAACAATAAGCTCAAATAACAGATAGTAAGGCGAAAGTATGTTTTATTCAAAACACGTTTAAACTTCATGGACGGAACGTAAATAACCAAAGTAAGGCGGGCCAGATCAGAAATTGTCTACGCCCCCGTGTGGCCCTACGTCTCACCGTTCGAGGACATCTGCTCTAGTTCATTTCAGGTATCCTAACATTTTTTTAGGTAGCTTCGCTGGACCGTAGCTCTTGTTGCTTTCGAATTTCTACACAGTCGACCACTATGAGGCTATCGGAACGTATGGTTTAAAGTCGCGTATAGTTCGTGGTACTATCTTCATTCGAGAGTAGCTAACAATCTCATCCTCACTAGCTCGCGCTATTCTTGTATTTTTTCAACAAGCATAGGGGCATTGCAAATTCAGCCCCAATATGCCCTGCGAAACCATCGCCGTTTAAATCAACAAAATTTAGTCGATAGTCAATTAAACGTCTACGCACAGCGACGCGCTATCTCTGCGGTAAAAAAATAATTCATAACCTCGAATACGCCAATATATGAACTTACGTCAAGACCATGTCCTAGGGACCTAGGACACTGTTGAATAAAATCCAAGACCACGGTCGACAATAGCTTAAATAAATAACTCAAACATGAACGGCAAATATATACACATGTTCAACATAATTTTGGTTTATTTATAATATAACATATTTGAATCTTTATCAGATATTACATTTTAAGAATCGCAGTGGCCATGAAAAAGTAAGATACTTGCTACAGCAGATTTAAAACAACAGTGAAAAAATCACGAGCGATGGTTAGAATTATTGCATACGCTTTAAAATTAAGAATTACGTAAGGTATAAAATTGCTCACAAAGATATACATAATAGGTAGTATTAGCCACCATTGATAAAAATTAAAACAGAAATTTGAACTTTGAGAACAGTGGCGCAATCAGGGGGATTTCGGGCCGAAAGGAAGTTTCGGGGATGAAAAATACAGTGTGCCCCGTAATACATTATTCATTATAAACGAGCCCATTAAAATTACTGCGGCGAATTTCTCCCGGATCAGGAAGATATAAAATCTAATCATTGAAATAGAAGTTTAATCAATTTTCTTTGCTACCTAAATTGTATTCTCCTAGTTGGTCTACGTTGAACGCAATTATTATGATGTGATATTTTAAAGGTTATTATCGACTATAAATTGTATATTTTTCGCAATAGGAAAGTCAATAACATCCGAAAAAATTAGCTCTTTCAACGAGCGCTGTGATAAAAGGGATGTTTTCAGAATTCGGTTTTGAGGTAATTTCGGAGTCCTAGAGTAAGAATTTTTGATGGCCAGGATGCGCCACAGTTTAAAATATAAAAAAAATTATAAATACTTCATTAAGATAGCAGAGAATTATTCGAATTTTACATAGATTACATTTATATATGATTGGATATGTGAGGTCCTTTTTTACCCTGCTTCATAATTGTATATGAACTGATTATGTTAGATCATTGCATACAACAGGAGCCTGCGCCAGGCTTTTCTTCAATGAGAAACTTGTTCTGAAAACATAGAATAATTTATTTCAAACACAAGTGTGAGCTTAGCGAATGTTCGATGAAAATATTGGTGTATTGTACCCCTTTTTTTTCAAAAGGGAATTTGATGAAAACAAGGTCACACGCACCGCACTCTCTAGAAAGTGAAGAAGTCGACATCCACTGAAACTCCATGAGCTACTGAAACTAAATAGATTATAGTGCTGCACTACATGCTGGAAAATCTCAAGACTTGAAGGTGTACAAGTCAATATACTCAGACCAACATCTGTGGTAATGAAATTCTTGCGAGTACCAGGCAGTATATTATAAATAATGGAAAAATGTCATTTCTTACCCTGCTCAGATTGGTATCGGTATATGGTGGATATCTACTTTGCAACAAAGCTTCCAAGTTTTGTTTCCTGTAACAAACTGTACGATGATGTGAGAACGTATCAAATGAATATTTTCCATGATAACTGCCAGTCCCACTTGTACCTGAAAATGAAAAATATCAAGTTTAGTGGTGGAACAAGGAGAACAATAGTGTACATATCTGTCTCCTAGCAAGGTACTCACCAACACCCCCAAAAGGCACATTGGTTCCAGTCATATGCAGGATAGTATCATTAACAGTCACTCCACCACTTGATGTATTTGAAAGCACATAGTCTACCACCTAAAATATATAATGCATTGAATTAGGATCTGAATTCTAAAAGGATATAGGATATAAAAATCCTGAAGTGTGAATAAAGTTTTAATAGAATAACCGAATTTAAAATCTTGCTTTGATACAGAATTTCAGGAAAAGAATAGGTATGCCGTAGTGAAATATGAATGATCTCAGTAAAATATGCTCAGAGCATGCACTCACTCACTCAGTAGTATACTCAGCAGTCAGCACTGAGCAAAGTTGCAGGCAACTAAAGTGTCAAGAGTTACTGAAACTACGTAGATTCAATCTTTTTAGTGGAGCTGAAGCCAAATAAAACATTCGAGAGACTCGAGGGAAATACTTGTCTGAAATTGGAATTGCAAAAGCAATCAGAATACCAGCAAAATAAAATGATCTTGAAATGTAGCTAGTTTAATATTAGTGGTAAACCTAATGGGCATTTGATTGGAGTTAAACAACATACATATATTAATAGACTCTCAGATTTGAATGTAAACTTGCGGAAGTTCTGGATTGTAGTGGTGGAACACTTGGACTCCGCGAACCTCAGTAGAAAACCACCGCATTGAGCACTCGCAAACATCCATTGGCAAGATACTTGAAGCAGTTCAAGTAATTATATACCAGTATGTGAATCGATTCATTTAAATTAGGACGTGTATCTATACTAGTGTATGTGATAAATATGATGTGAAATCCTACATAGATGCAATTCACCATACTATTCGACTGCTAGTATGTGGTGTCAAGTTCTTACTTAAGTAAAATCCTACCTGTGGTTCATTTGAGAAAACATATAATGCCAATGGTTTCTCCAATTTATTTATGGTGGCAACAGCTTCTTCTTTCCCATTTACTTCCATGATTGGGAATATTGGTCCAAACAATTCATCCGACATCAATGCATCTTCCATAGTACAGTTGTTAACTATAGTTGGAGCTGAATATAAGTAAACAAAAATGAAGATGAATTTTGACCCATATACTACTGTAATACACCGAGGGGAAAATATACATCACTTTTTCAGATAGTGTGAATCATAACTTGAATAAGGAATGAGGTTTCTCTAGTCAACATGTATGGGGCTGTCCATAGCTGGATAATTCAATGAAAAGAGTTTGTGACAAAACCCCTTCATCTTTCCACCTTGTTTCTTACATACTAATTGTGTTTATTGGTTGTTCAAACTACTACAAAGCTTTGGTTACTATTTGGAAAAGTCAGAGAGACTTAATTCGGTGATTGATTTGTCTCGAATGACCAGTTACTCGACCTGGCTCGGGATTATGGTTTAGGCTTAGGGCAGTGTTTAACTTTTTTCTTGACGACCCATTTGGCACGGCCAAAAGAACTAAAAAAAAGACGAGGAAAAAGTCCGGATCTGTTTTTCTCATCTGTTTAAAAAATTCTTGTCAATACTTCAACGTCCTTAAAACACGCCGCAACCACATTGTGTCCTTTTGCAACCCATCGGAGGTTACAACCCCCAGTTTGAATAGCCGAGTATTCTATCGAATACTGACTGCTACTAACCCCTTATTTATTATTAAACTTGAATATCCGAAGTTTCTTTTTGGACAATCGTGCTATGTTTTTAGTCGAATTCCCTCATCAAATCATTAAAAATTATCATATCAAGGAAGAAGGAGTATTACCAATGTACTTATCCGCTTCATCAGTCTGTCCCCCAAAAACAATTTTTTCTTTCGGAGTTTTATCAAGCAATCCTTTTAATCTGTTAAACTGCCGATCATTGATAAGTCTTGGCAAATCTTTTGATTTTTGAGGATCTTTTCCAAATCTTTCAATAATAACATCACTGCAAAAGCAAGAAGTTGGTTAATTTGAATGCATTTTACATTGAAGGAAATTTCATTGCACGTCAAGCATTCAAAGCAATTTTGGTAATTATCCAATTTCTATAGCAGTGACATACGTATATTTTCAGAGGTACCATATTTAGGATGGACTTGTGCAAAATAAACTTGACAACATTCAAATACTTCAAAAATTGTTGAAAATAATAATAATTCATAACATATCAGTTGAGCCTAAATTATACAAAAATAAATTTTCACTTAAAAGCCTCGCTGATTACTTTACTATACTACGAAGGTGGCAAACTTGATATGACGCCCAGATTAAAACCAACAGAAGTTCTTTACACATTCTGTTTTCAGAATGATTTTTTAATTCATGTTTTCGTCCTCACCACAGGGCCTTAACAAAATCCTCTTTAATCTCTGAATCGCACATAATATAATCAGGAGCGACACACGTTTGCCCAAGGTTGATGAGTTTTCCCCATGCAATTCTTGATGCAGCTATAACAAAAATGTATTTTGTACTTAGTTTGAACCAAATTGGACGCTGAGTGCAGTTTCACTTTCTTTTATTAAATTGAAAATCTGGTTTAACGATTAATAAAATATGATTTACCTAATTTAGCATCTGACTTTTTATGAAGATAGACAGGAGACTTTCCTCCTAATTCCAATGTAACTGGAGTAAGATGTTTTGCAGCTGCTTGCATCACAATTTTTCCTACCTAGAACATTGATAATAAATAAAGGTGATCACTGATAATACCTTCATACAATTAATAGTTGGGATACTATTTCAACAAAACTAGTATGAGATGAGCTCCAAGGCACATACCTTCCACCGAAATAGACAACAGGCTTAAATTAGAACTACGCCACAGACAATATCCCCAATAATGACATACAACCTGTTTAAACTTTTTTATCAAAAAAAAAAAAAAAAAAAAGATTAGGCTATTTACCATAGGGTTGCCAGTGAAAAATATGTAGTCAAATTTCTGCTTCAATAGTTCAGTTGTTTCAGGAACTGCACCATTGTACACAGGAAAGCATTCCTGAAAAATTATGAATAATATCATGAATTAGAGCATGTGCTTGTTAGTGTTGCTACAGCATTGATGATATCTTTACCACTGACAAATGACAATGATTATTTTATTTAAGTTCATACCAGATTAATGCAGTATTCTTGAAATCAGCCGTTGCAATAAAAAATTCGATTTTTAATAATCTAAATGGATTTATTTTGCAAAAAAACATGATGCATGACAAAAATGACTCCATCAAATTTCACCCTAATCAAGATTTCAATGCATATTTAATAAATATGCTATACAAAAGCTGTAGGACCGCTAATCTGAATTCTAAGAAATATCCCAAATCACCCGTTGGGCAGTGTTGGTTACAGATATTAGTGCAATAAATATTTCGCAAGCTTTGATTGCAGAACCACAAGTCATAGAAAATTTTTAAAATGCAAGGCCAAGAAATGCAAGATCATTTTTTGAAATACCACAAAAAGGACTCTAAAGACCCGATAACAAAAAAACAACCAAATATCTAAGAGCACTTGGCTGAAATTGATACAAATATATATTCTTAATGCAAAACTTACCTTATCCAAATATTTTGGAATCAGTTCTGTCATAACTTTAAGCAGTATGTTCTGCCACCTCAGACGTCTTTAAAAACAGCACAATTGCCTGCAATTAGAATAAATTATGAACTTGGATAATGTAATATACTGTTTCACTCTGTAATAAAATCATGGTATACAGGTTGCCACAACGGTTAGGTTAACCATGAAAAAAAACTTCATTCATTAAATTAGGCAATTATCTTTGAATTTGAAAAAAAAATTCTTGAAATAGGCACTTTGCAGACAGACACGAAATATAAAAAGCGAAAAATACAAATGCATGCAGTTTTATATATGTATGTTAAAAATTATGGAGAATGAATATCAAAGCAATAAAAAATGGCAAAAATATATTAGACACATAATACTAGGGTGACAGGATAACCCACATAAAAAATTTCATCCAGATCTGACCAGCTGACAAAACGACTGAGGATAAGGGTCTCCTGGATCTAATACATCTCATCCATTTTATCTGAACTATTTAAAAAACACACTTGTGCTTCATCATTATGCAAATAGTCTTATCTAAATACCTGCTGCAATTGCTCCAACTAACGGTGCAACCAGAATAATGTAGGATAATTCCAAGCTCCTATAATAAGAACGACGCCATAAGGTTCAGGCTTGATGTAAATACCATCCATAGTTTGTACCAATGTTTTGATGGCTGTAATGTAAGCAATCTTATTATACAATTAGAAAATACAGTTAAATATATATGGATCAGAGTCTAGCCATGACCTGTATATACATTATATGACGAAAACTAAATTGAGAACTATTATAATTTATAACAATTGACTTACGTAAGTTGGCTTCACCCAATTTTTCAAATGGTTGATTGCGTGTGCTGTTTCACATCGTGCTATACTGATTTCAGTAATAACAGTTTCAAATGCTGTCTGTGGAAAGATAAATCACACGATATTAGATAGAAAGCGTTTGTGATTAACGATACAGAAATACATTTTCGTTAGTGTTGCATAAAGACTCATAAATTCAAATATAAAATCATCTTTATTCTTGCTGAAGCATCTCGCATTATGCACATACAGATCCACGGTACAAATGCAATTAGGAAGGATAGATAGGTAATTTGTCTCACATAACACAACAGATAGTTATAAAAAAAGGCATTCGATTTTTCACAACTGCAGAAGGAAACGTAGGTGGAATGCTGCTGAATTAAGAAAATAAAATCTAACAAGAGAAAGGACCTTTCGGAGATCTTTTTCTCAGCTCAATTATAGCAGGTTCATTCTCAGTAAGCATCTTATGAAGTTGTTTTAATTGATTAAGTCTCCATGATACATCTTTAGTCTTTCCAGTTTGAAAAGCTTCTCTACAAAATCACATAACAACAGTATATATTAAAAACACAAAATACATACCACAAACTTGATCGTAAAAAATGATATCAAATATAAGAGTGATTATCGTATGTGTTATGCTGTTTAAACCAGGAAAGTTTTATTTATATTTCAACTCAAAATCAAAATAAATATAGAGAATGCCAATTAATACTTCAGTTCAATATTATAAATGTAAGAGATGCCAATGTGGTCAGCAAAAACATATGGTTGGCCTCAATTACCTTGTACGAGCGACTAGTTGTTCTGCTTCACTCATTTTTTTCAGACAGATCTGTATTATACTGTAATACTAAAAATACAGTCTATAGCACTGAATAAATATAAATCAAATCACAGTAAACAATAAGTTACAAAAATATATGGGTATATTGCATTAGTAAATTAGACAGTTTTTTAAATATTCATAAAACGATACTTACTACAGAAAGCCATTGCATTGGGTTTTAATTTTAAGATATTCAAACATTTTCAGTTTCATCCAATACAGTTAAAAATGGCTGCATAAAAATTCTAGGCATTATATTTATAAAAAGGATAAAATAAAGTTTCCAGTGTACAGTACTAAAAATTAGTTATTATTCATTGTCTCAATATCTAAATTCTTAATAATACAGTACTAAAATATTAGGCCTAATAAGCTAAAGAAGATAACATCTCTCCATCCAACACCTATCACAACACTGGCTACATCCCGGATGTTAACCTATAATATACCGTTAACAATAGTTACGTAGATTCCATTAGTCAAATAAATCATAGACATTCAAATTTGCTTTATCAAACACTTTGTCATGAAGCACAATGAAAAGTTGTGCAATTTTACAATAAAGTATAAAACCTAAAATTTGATAAATCACATTCTTGAAATCTATCCGTATTCTATCGAAAACGCACAATGCCATTACCCACTTATTGCTGCAACCTTATTACAGCCTTTATGCTCAATAACGACAACACCTTGTGACAACATACATATTATGCACATAGATAAGTACTAAGTACACAAAACTGTCATTGAAGAGAACGAGAAATAAGCTATCCAAAATTGTCAATCATTACCAAACATAGTTTATACCATTGCTTTATCTTGTGAAGAAGATATAACACTCAACAAAAATTTTTGATATTTTGTTCATTAGTTACTGTACGCATTACAGGAATGCAACATAATCATTATACAGAGAAGTATTTTACCCACTAACATGCTTCGAATATTAAGTCAATAGGTAAAGCTATACTATATAATAAGCCAACGGTGAAAGGCCCAATGTATTTAAACCTTATAACCATGATTCCATTTATTCTGGAATACTTGGGTCATCCTGACTCAGCATCTTTAGGAAAGTTGCTTACCTTTGACGAATGAACCTTAATGGGGGAAGCTATACCATATAATAAGCCATTGCTGAAAGGTCAAATGTACTTACTCCCAATATCCAATTGCTTCATTTATTCCCAGAATACTCATGTCAGCATGACTCAGCATATTTCAGGAAATTTGCTTACCTTTATTAATAGAAGAATTGCTACCACTAGTATCTCATCATGTAACTTTCCATTTGGTACAGATGACAGGACAGCAGCATTCCTTCTTACTATTTTTTTTTTCTAAGGAGAAAAAGCACCACATTCTTTGAGTTTGGCAATTTTCCTTGAATTTTGACAATATTTCCTGAAATAGGCACTTTGCAAAAACGCACGAAATATAAAATTTGAAACATGAAGTTCTATCTATGCATATAAAAAATTACAAAAATTGCATATTGAAGAAATAAAATAATAGCAAAATATATTGAATGCAATATCACATAAAAAGAAATTTTATTATTGATAGCAGCAGAACCCTGATTTCTCTTTAATGGTTGAAGACTTTAAAATTCTTCTTCTTCACTTCATTACGGCATCCTCAGTCTAGGAGTTGATTAACTTCAAATGTTAGTGTCCATAATTTACTCATCTTCATACAAGCTTCTTAGGGCAAACATCTTTATACCTGTGGTAGTGTTTGCTCATGAATAGCAATTTACAAATTGCTCAATAGTTTGTGTGTGTTTTCATATGTCATGCAACAATATCTGTATCAATCATAGCAAATAAGCCGTGGACTTGCATTCCATAAATTACCACCACAGGTATTTGAAGCAAGATATTCAGAGCCCAAAGAATGATTGCAAGTCACAAAATTCCGCATCCAATCTTCTCCTGAAATATGTTCAAGATTACTTCGTCATTATTTCAGATGTCGATAGATTCGATTCCACCTCAAAGAACTAGGTATTCTCAATGATACAATATTCTAAATACAACTCTAAAAATGAATTGCGAATGCATTACAATTGTCCATTCATTTATCACAAGCAATAATATACCACCACCAATCACCTCTATAAACATGATGTTATCAAAAATAATTGTAAATGCATTTCAACAAATGAAGCACAATAAATTTTGAAAACCAGAAATAAGATCGGTCTAAATCTTGAAATGGAATAACATAAATGTAGTATAAAATATGTGTCAAACTAATTCATCATCAAATTTTTGGAAACAAGAATTTTGTACAATTTCTCCATTTAAAGACAACTAGACATTGGCCCAAAACATAATTCAAAATCAGAAAAGTTTTCAAAACAGTTCCTAAAATCTGTCATTTATGTGGTAAAAAATTCCATAATTTAGCAAAAAAAATAGGAATGCGACAGTTTTGCTGTTTACAAAATCAATTTAGAATACGGACAGCAGAGAAATACAAAAAAGACCATACACAAATGTCTACACATTGCCTATATACCAAGTAATCAAGATTGTAGATAGCCAGATGAGAAAAAATGATTATTATTGCTTTTCTAATTTAAAAGACAAGACTATTGACAGCCATCTTTTTGTAATGGATTATTTGGTATAACCCACCTTGAATCGATATAAAATTCTAAAACTCACACACGCACAGCAGTGGTTAGACCAACTCGAATAACAAATGTTACAAAAAGGATGGTGCCTCCCTCGAATGAAGAAACCATAGTATCACATGATTGTTCTTGGATTCAATTGTTCATTTCGGCCATGTAGCTGTCCAACTCAGCATTCATTGCACCTTTTGTTTTAGTCATATAACTGTCAAGTTGTTCATCAAGTTTGTCTTTGTCTGCAGGTTCTCGTCGATTAGCTCCACCTCTTCCTTGACGACCTCCCCGACCTCTGCCACGACTTATGCCACGCCCTCTACCTCTCATACCCGTTCCACGCCCTCTACCAGTTCTCGTAGGACGAATAAATCCACGTCTTCCTGGATTGCGGCCTCTATTTAACGAATTGCCGCGAGGACTGGGAAACCCTCCTCGACCACGACCACCTCGAACGAACTGTCCACGGCTTTGAAACCTTCCGCCTCTTATTCCCCGTTTCCTCGTGCTGGAGGACTTCCTAATCTGTCACGAATCGACACCGGCTTATTATCAAGCGCAGCAGCAACTGCTGGCCGTCTTTCCATTTGTTGTGCGAGTCGACGATTCTTTTCACTTGCCATTCTCTCATTGGACATTTGAGCTCGCACAGTTTGGGAAGTTGTTCGTTGTGTTTTCATGATCGTAGAAAAACGGTCATTAAGACTGACCTTGGTTGAGCTTTTGAGAACGATTTTGGCAGGTGGGTTGGACGCCATTGTACTTCTTGAGTATACGCCAAAAATAACTGGATAATAAGTAACAAAACTCTAATCGTCACTAAACTATCTCATTCCAAGCGGGTCAATAATTCAACTTTAAATCTTACAGTACACACAATTCTGCAAAATATTGAGAAAATAAATCTTGTCCAAGTAAATACACAATAATATCTGGCAATAAATAAAATTAGTATAATAATTAGGCTATATATATATATATATAAACAAATCTCCTGCAAAAAATAGAGCGAAATTTTTTCATTTTTTGCCGCTCTTCTAAGCAAGGCTCTGGTTTTTTCGATTATTTTGATTAGGCCAGATTCGTTTCCCAGAACAATTTTGCAAGATTGGTATATCAGTAATTATAAGTCCGTAAGTGGCTGAAATTATTTGAGATTTAATGAGATTCCCAATGATTCCATGATTATAATGCAAACTTAGCAAAGAAAACAATGTGGTAATTTTATGAATAAATCAATGACATCTGCAAACATGATGTCACACTGCTGACTTTTCTAATTCATTAATCAAAGTACGTCAAAATCACTCTCATTTGATTATACTTGCACTTGCTCTCGAAGAGCCCGTAAAAGCGACAGACATCAAACATGGTAATCTCAGCCGACATATTCAGAATAAGTAGACGATGAAACCTCACAACGAAATCTCATTAATGCACAATTTTCGCATTTTTCATCTCTACTCTAAAAGTAACATCTGAACATATAATAATCATTGGTGCCAACTTACTGGCAATAGGGTGGCGTAGCCAGTCTGCGGACGATTTCATTCAAACCGCTATGAAACAAAAACCAATATTTCTAACCTGTTAATTTTTCACAGTAGGTGCATGGGCATTTCTTCTAACGCTAAACCTCGAATTAACTTTCTACGACCAGGGTTAAAGCTATACAAACCACCAAAGTACGACACTCTGAGGACCTATTTGCGACCGAAGACCAGTTTGCGACCACGAATTTCAAGCCTTGAACATCATTTCTGCTGCGTCGGGACTAGGGCATACGCAGCCATGCGTGAAAAAAAATTAGCTTCTAATTGCATTTCTGACCGTCATATATTTTAAGAACAAGGTTATTTCGAACAAAACTCGTCAAATTATAAATAAAGCACCGCATTACAGCAATCAAACAAACAAAAACATGGTGGTCGCAAATTGGTCGACAATGCTATTATCGACGTATTGGAAATGCGCACCCCCCTATTCCCCCTCCTTTGAATGTGGAAACGTAAAACTTTAAAGATGGTTGAAAGAAACAGAACTCTACCCCCCTGCCAAGTTTCATCTTTTTATCTCTTATATTTGTATGGATTTTCAAGCTTTTTCAAAGGGACAATTGGTAGTTGGCAACATGGAAAAAGGGTCCGTTTTTTTTCCTCGGTCGGGTTTTCGGTCGTAACTTTTTTGTTTGTAGCCGCATTTTAGTGTAATTTCGCAGAGCTACGAGGGATACGGTAAGTGGACGATAACACGTGAGAAATATCGTCTCGGTTCGTTAATTTTTTCTACATTAATTTATTCGATGAAGTTGATGGTCGCAAATAGGTCTTGGCCGCAAAGTGGGTAAGCCACCCTATATTCCAATTACCATGCTCCATTTTACAATTTTTAGCGGCCTACGATTTCTCTCGAAAAAATGATGTGAACCAAAAGCCAGGCATTAAATGTTATAACATTATTTGTGATAAATTTTGATCAAATATTATTAGTTTACTATTAAAATGTATAATGCGAGTCCTAATTTAGCATATTAGTATCTCTCTATCTAGGGATCACATGAATTTTGAACAATTCTAGAATTTTATTGTCCTGCTGTCCTGAGGAATGCCTGTTAGGTATCAAATAAAAACCAATGCTCAGGTAATTTCCAATTAAATACCAAGACAGTAATATGTTTGAAATTTTGCTTAAATTTCAATCCAGCAATGTCTGGGGGTCTAGTATAGTTTGGTACCACAAGTACTTCCAGTGGGCGTAGCATAACGAATTTTGCATATGTTATTCCTAACCCCCACCTGACTATGCCATCCAAAAATTACGTCACCATGACGTCATCATCACGTCATAGGGCTTGTCAAAGTATAATTACGATCGCCCAAAATGGCATCTGCGCCGCTGATAACGAACTCGCTAACGCCGGCGATCTCTCTCCTATCGGGATCGGGTTGACGAAAAAACGAGAGAAATAGCTTGCTCGATTTCGGATGATCGTCTGTGCGTTTTGGACTACCTTCCGCATACTTTGGTGGGCCCTATTACGCCACTGTGACGTCGAAATGACGTAATTTTTCGGTGATGTAGTCAGGTAGGGGTTAGGATTGACATATGCAAAAATAGTTGAGCCAGGCCAACTACTAGAAGTGCATGTGGTACTAAACTATACCAGACCCAATGTCTGAATGTGGTGGCACGATCTTCACATTTGAATAACAATAAAAACAGAAAAATAGAACTGTAGAATGGGATTCAGCATTCTGGATTCTCAATTTAAGTATTCTAGAATAAAAAATTATTCTACATCCCTACACTCACTCAATCCAACACTTGCCACCTACCTATCCATGTAATCTCAACAAAATTTCCTTCAAATGGTTCCAGGCTGGTCCACCCGTCTGAGATTGAACCATAGACAGATAGAAGTAAACTATTTAAATTTTATGTTTGCCAGTGGCCGAATACTACTGTACGGTACTAGGTGTGGTATAATAAAAAATTATCTTAGTTTGCTCATATCTTCACACATTTCATATTTTTGTTTTAACTATACTGGCATCGCCCCCGAGGTAAATAATCCTAAAAATGGTGTGAGTACTGTTGAACATTTTAAGCATCAGAGCTTTCGAATTTCAAAGTGACTACGGTATTTGTCGAATTTGCAGCACGAGCGCTAGCATTGCGGATATCCCCAACCCTTGACCCTATAATATTTTCCAATATTGAAATATTCAGAGAGAGTTTTTTTTCCGTCAACCAAAATAGAATAGCAGTCATCTTATAATAAAAATAATAACAAGTGATAAATTAGTTTGGTATAGACAGGAGGGAATGATACGACCAAACGGTCATCAAAGTCAACCCCCCAAGTCAAGCTATTATGTTTAAGGTTTACAATTTCAGATGACTAAATATTAAGGTAGAACATTTTATAGTTTAAATTATATTCACAAAATGGAAGAATAAAATAGGTGAATAGGTGAGGAGAATGCTAGAGCAAATCATTCATATTTGTGTATGTGGAGAGGGGTTTCAAAATTTAAAGAGATTCCAAAGGGTCTCCACATTCAAACAGGGATTTCACAGATACCATGTTTCCCCAAAAATAAGACTTAGCGCGAATTTTGAAGATGATTTTAATACAAGCCCTCCCTATAAAATAAGACCTAGTCAACAACGTGAATTTTTTTTGACATTGTCGATAGCTAGCAAGAAATCTCTCCTACACGTTTTAATTGATAATAATCTATGTTTTGCAGTTATTTTGAACAAAAACGTGTTATTTATAAGTAAATATGGTGGGTTTTCATATTTTAAAATCTCAGTCTTATTTTTGGGGAAACACGGTATTTACACTTAACAAATTCAAATAATTTATACCGCATATGTGATTACTTAAAATATACGGATGCCATTTATCGGATGTTTCCCCGAGCATCGTTTACCAAGTTTATTTCCATAATAATGACCAATCAGCAATAAGTCAAGCATCGCTGTGAACATTATTTCGTTTTTGCGATTTTTCTCGTTACTTTTCATTTTTCAGTCGTTTTTTCACAAATTAGTTATACATCAGATAATTTAATTGTCATTATGTCTTCCGAGGAGCTTTAGTTTAGTTGCAATGATCGAAAAGTAGTCCCAAAAACGCTAAGATGGACTAGGCTAAAATTAGCTATCAATACCTGTAAGCGGCACGTGGCTGAATATTTTTATTAAATATGGAGATTTCAAACACTTAAATCAGTTTATAAGTGCCAATTCAACACTCACAAAAAACGCTCTCAAAATAAGCATAAAAGGCTCGGGGTGTTTCAAATCATGGCACGCGAGCCAAAATTTAAATCTTTTTCCTAATCCCGGTGTCAGGAATGATATTTGGTAAAATAACGGAAGGTCGTATCCAGGGGCGCAGCCAGGATTTTCAAAAGGAGGGAGGGGGTTCAAAATCGGAAATTTCCAGTGCCGTCTGTAACAGTCACCGCGATCACGCGCTCGTTAATAGAGCCGCCTTTTCAGCGTTTAATGAATTTTCTGTTGCGTAAAAGATTCAATTCATGACAACTACGAGATTCTATATATATTAATTTAAATGTGTCCAACGTAAGTAACGGTTGCGACTTCTTACGTCAAAAAAAAACATTACTATAATATATTATATATATATAAAGTATACCAGTAAATCAAAACTACAAATTCACCACCGCGAAATCCACGCCGAACAGCCGCGATTACGCCACTTGTTGAAAGAGCCGACTTTTCCAACGAAAAATGATTTTTCTCTGGTGCAAAGTAATCAATCCATGACCGATACGATAATATTTAGAACGTTCTGCTTTATTAATTTAATTGTTTCCAATTTAACTTGCGGCTGCGTCGACATAAACTCTAAAACACCACGGCAATCCGCGGAAACAAAAATGTGTGGTAAGCTGCCCCATTGATTATTGTTTTGATACGTATTTTTTCTATTTTGCGAATTCGACAAATTTGAGATGTACTGACTCCGTCAAATTGCAATGCTGCCACTCCGATTATTTTTAAAAATAAAATCTTTCGAAAATCCGTAAATTTGATGTAAAATTTCACGGAGTGAAATGTATTTCAGTAAAATAAAAATTGATCGATATGTTTCAGATTGATTATATTATACATCATCACAAACCCGGAAAAATCGTGTTTCCAACCTTGTTCAATAATAAAACGAAAATTTTCGACGAGAATTTTAAATTAATGGATAAAAAGGCAAATTCCTCCCACAATTAACCGTGTTTCTATTTTAGTGGCGGTATGTTTCTAAACGGCGACCAAACATAATGTGTGTCTATGGCACACGAAATTTTGCGATTTTCAATGCCTAGAAAAGCGTTTTAGACTGTCGCGTAACTTAAAACTTATATTGTTCA